AAGTATCGTGGAAGGACCGCGTCAGAAAAAGGGGCGGGGCTAAGCGCCGTGAACCCGGAAGTGGGTTCCGGCGGCAGCATGAATGCTAGGGTATACCTGACAAGAATATTGCCATGGATGTGGCATGGACTTTACAAGTAATTATGGTTTATTTGAGCATTTTTCCTGCGTTGAAATGAGAAAGAGGTTTCTTGATGAAGAAGTAAGTGTTTTGCTATGCGTGGCAATGTTGAATGTTGCTATGAATTTTGCAATATGTGGTTTCTATGCATTGTGAAACTTATAACAGTGTATGAGTTAGTTCTCTGAAAAAAAAGAGCTGTACAGTGCACAGAGAATGGACTTTTCTCTGTGACTTGTAAGACATGGCAAACTTACTAGACAGAGCTGTATAAGAAGTGGGATTTGACTATGAAATTAAGCAGTAAGGATTAAGGCAACCTCGTGCTGGCCACTGATAGTGATATTTTTCTGTGATTTGTAAGACATGGCACACTTGATGGGCACAATAGTATAAGGCCTGCAATATCTAGGCAACAGTTCTCGACTTTTCCTACAGCTCTGAACTGCAGAGATTATCAGGGTTGTTCACTAAAGTGAGAATTGTTGGGAATTAAAAGTTAATTTCATGACAGGCGCATAGTCGCCATATGGGCAGGTGGAATTACTTCTTCACCAGCTCATCGCCGAGCCCCAGACGAGTGGCTTCCATAGCTGCCCTGATCTGGAAGGAGGGCGTACCGAATTGGTTTAGCCTCAGACCCAAATTCCCAAGCCCCAAGAGAAAACCCTGGCAAACTGATAGCATGACAGCGCCAAACCATCCTCATGCAAGAAAAAAGCACCCTCCCCTGTTGGACGCAAAGCCTGATGCCGTGCAAGACTGGTAACTGGACACAACTGTGAGCCTGGGAGAGCGTGCAAAACCACATCCATTCCCTTCCTCTGTACATCCATTTTTGACCTAGGTAAGCAAATCACCACCCTATCCACCCCGGGTGTACATCTGACGGCTGAATGCAGCCAAGACCTTGCCTGTTTGCGCTCACAAGCTCCCCAATACAAAAAGCCCTGAAAAAGGCCAAAACAAACTCAGGCCATCCAAAACCGGGACCACTGAAAGCAAGACAAAGCATCAGCCATGATATTCAAGTAACCAGGGACATGCAGCGCGCTGAAAACCACGTTGATGGACATACACCTAATATAACAAATTTACGTAGAAGCCGCACCACCGGAGCAGACAACGCCGAGCTCGTCGGCCAAGGCGCTGCATACCATCGGCCCCCAAAGTACGCCCCAAAGCCAATGCTACCCGATGCATCCGTGAAAAGTTCCAGATCCACTGCCACCGCCTGCCTGAAAATCACTATCCCATTGAACCCCCTCAGGAACACATCCCAGACCTTCAGGTCAGCCCTCATAGTGAAGGTAACCCTAACAAAGTGATGAGGCGAACGTATTCCGACCATGGCCCTGGCCAGACTCCTACTGAACACCCATCCCATAGGCACCTCCCTGCAAGCAAAATGTAACTTCCCCATAAGCGATTGCAGCTGCTGCAGCGTCACCTTGTACTTCTGATGAACCTCCACCACGACTGCCCGCAACCCCAGCAACTTATCTTGAGGAAGACGACATTCCCCTTTATGAGAGTCTATTTCTATACCAAGGAAACTTAGGCAGTCAGTCAGGCCTTCCGTCTTTTACACCGCAAGAGGGACCACAAACTTATCCGCCACCCACTCAATGGTCCACAGGAAGTGAAAACAGCACTGAGAGTCAGCAGGTCCCACACACAAGAAGTCATCCAGATAGTGGACCATCAACCAACACCCCACCTCCGTCTTTACCACACACTCAAAGTACACGCACGAAATTGAGCAACCTACCAGGAGACACAAATCCACGAAATATGAACCATCGAAGGAACATGATGGCAGTCCGGATGCACTGGCAGGAGACGAGTATATAATAATCCCTCCACCTTCGACATGAGGGCTCCCGGGCCCAGCCTCCCTAACCAGTAACCAACTAAACCGCCTGGTTGAATGATGCATAAGAGTCTTAGCATAGGTCCCCGTCGATGTCGTCATTCACCGATGCCCCCTTTGGATAGGACAGGTGGTGAAACAGGTGGAACTTCCACGGCTCCTTCTTGGGGATGACCCCATCATATAAACACACAAACTGGGCAAAGGGAGGGACGTAAATGGGCCCGCCATCCTACCCAGCTGTACTTCCTTACCCAGCTTGTCCCCCACCACATCTGGGAATTCAAAGAATGAATTCAAGTTATGCACACAGCCTGCTCCCCCCTCCCCTTTCTTGAAACAGGATATAGAAACCCTCCACAAAACCAGATTGCAACAACCCGCAAAACCCGATCGCAACAACTCCCCGTCCGATGGTAACATCATGTCGAGCTTCACTGGCGTTGATCCTCGTGGCAACAGGAACAGTCCCCCCGGATTCCGCTCCAGAAGAGGACCCAGTCTTACCCCACTTAAAACATCTATTGAGGCCGTGATTGCCACCACAGTCAGAGCATTCATGTTTAAACCGACACCCAGTACCCCATTTGCACTGGCTCTTGTTGAAGAGCCAGCAAATACCTTGCTTGAATGCGGCCGACAAAGCAGACTGACTTCCAGCGCCGGCCACCGGTGAAAGGGTGGCGACTTCTGTGCCATCATAAGCTTCATGCACAGAGGCAGGTCCATCTGGTCCCACCACATCCTCGGGTTCGCCACAAGCCACTTACGGAATCGCTTGTCGTATTTCCACCACGCCGAACCGCCATATGTGTGGTACGCCTCCCTCACCCCATGCAGATAGCAGAACAACGAGGATCACAGACCTGGCAACTTCGCCCCGATAATGCTCGCTAAGATGCAGAAAGCATGCAGCAAGTTCCCGAATGACTTAGGAATCTTCCGATACCTCTTATGCTTTTCCTCCTCCTCCTTCTTGGTGTCCTTCATGTCCTCCTCCTTGAGGTCCAGGAAGTCCTCCAGCAGAAAAAGCAAAAAGATTTCGAAAAGCTCACCTTTCCATATTTTCTCTTTCATGTAATCTTTCAAATGCACTCCTAAAGAGCTTCGCTTAATAGCAGAATATGAAAAGGAAGCAAAAACAGAGGCATACCAATAGTGCAATATGGTAGTATGTGTTGTAGAACAAACGACACTTAGATAAGATGTCACGTCACATATAGTAGAGCTACAACCAGCTCTAGGGAAAATAGCATGCAGTGGTATACAATCCCCACTTGCAGGATATCCCTCTGGTTTTGGTACACAGTAGAATGATGGTAAATCACAACTGGATAACGATGAGGTAGATCATATGGAATGACAAAACAAGCAGCCAATAGTGCTCTCTAAATACATAGGTAAGTATCACTAAGGTAAATAAAATATACTTACAATAGAATGAGCAGACTAACTGCTCTATGTATCAAGCCTGGGTGGTATAATCCCCACCAACAATTTCTTTGGTTGGTTGTCCACAGTAGGTGATGGGTCCAGATGTCAGGTAAAAGTATAAAAATAAATAATAATAAGTTCTAAAAATATATGGCTAAAAGGCACGTAGTGAGGTAGCCAAAATACTTTATTTTAACAACAGCATAAAAACCACAACGTGTTTCTCCCCTTAGGGCTTTCTCAAGTGGTGATAACAGATACCTGACATAACTGGGTTTATATATACTTTAAAACACCTAATTTTGGTGCAAAAATGACATAGTTAATAACATGACCTCAATTGCATGGCTATGGCTAATAAAAAAAAAAAATTTGTTTTTGTTTTCTAATTAGTAACTTTATTAGGTCTAAGCAATATAGCGTATGTGTGGCAAAAAAAAAAAGTCACACACACTATATTACTTAGACCTAATAAAGTTACCAATTAGAAAAATAAATAAAAAATGCAAATGATATTATTTTGGTGCCAAAATTAAGTGTTTTAATGTCAGGTATCTGTTTTTACCACTTGAGAAAGAGAATTCCATGTGTAGACTGTATATGTACTTATATGGGTGGAGTGCGTAAAATGTATGTTATAGAGAAAAGAAAACCCTGGCAGACCAGAAGAGTAAAGGGCAGACTGCCGTTCCTCTAATGCCCCACCCAGGGAGTACCCACAGCAGTAAGGGCGACTCAGGGGGCACACTGTAAAATCTAAAAAATCTTTATTAAATAATATTAATGTAAATGATAATTTAATTATGTAAAGAGTAGAAGAAAAATAATAGTGCAACACACAAACGTGCTAGTGAAATTAAAAAGGAAAAGCTTGATGCAGCCTCAGTGGACCCTTGCCAGTGTAAATATAAATGGCTATAGGTTAATAAAAATACAATTAGCCTAAACCGTCAAAGCAATAGCAATATGGTCACTGATAGGGGGTATAACTTCAGAGATTAGTAACCAGACACTGAACTGTAGTAATCTAGATAGTAAGTACAAAAATGTTACACTCTGTATATATTCAACTTGAGGTATAAAGTGAGAAATTCTTTATTTTTTTTGTGATATAGTAACTTTTACTAAGTGTGTATGTTTTTCTTTTTTTTTTTATGATTCAATTTGCTTTTATTGACATCATAACGATTGGCAATACAAAGTTATATGCATCAATACAGAAGGTGGCAAAAATAGTGTACATGTCAGTTATTGTTCATTTGGTATAAAGGTATCTTTAGTATTTATGTGAAGAGAGCAATTGTACAATGCAATAGCGAGCATCTGATTCCATTCCTACATTGCAACATCTTTCAGCATTAACAGTTTTGAAGAAGGAACCAGTCTTAGGAAAATAGAAAGAGAATATTTAAAAAATACAAAATCGTTTTGAGAAAACTATGTAACATAGCAGGAGAATGATTAATCTTCCTTATATTGTACGAAAGGGGATATGTAGAAATAACATTTCCTACTGGAGTTCGCCACGCTCACAAGTTTGACATGAAAGCTGTAGAGAGCACTCAGATTCAGTCATTTTATTAATTGGTATATTTGTGTTGGGAAGCAGATAAACTGCGAAGAGGCAGAAACTTTAGTGCTCCTGCTGTGACCTTGTCTAGCCCTGCTTCCTGAGAGCGTCTCCACTGATCCGTTGGGGTGGGGGGTAGGGAGTGGTTGTCGAGTAGTGGGGCGTTTGGGGGTCGAGGGTCCGTCAGGTAGTTTTTGTCCTGTGTGTGCGTTTGTTGTGGGTATCCCTTTTGCGCTAGTAGCTGTTCTTTGATGTGTGTAGGCGGTGGTTGTGTGTGTGCCATGCGTCGGGGTGTAGTCTTGTTGGGGTGTCCCTTCTGTGTTTGGTGTCCTTCTGTGTCTGTTTGGGGATCCTATTAGCGTCGGGGGTGTATTGGTCGAGCGGGTGCTGTTCCGGGTTGTGGTTGGGTGGGTTCTGGTATCGTGGTGTAGTGCACTTGGGTATTGGGCGTTTGGGCAATCTTGTCGGGTTGGTTCATCCCTTGTCCGATATGTGTTGGTCATGGTGGGTCTTTTGTGGGTGCTGTGGTGTATAGTCTGTCCTGTAAGGGAGGTGGCGTTTCTGCGAGTGTAGGTTGCATTCTCAAGGCAGCCTGTCGGCAGTTGGTCATGTATTTTAACGTGTGTTGTGGGGGGCAGGTGGGATGGGAATGTAGGTTAATGGGGTGAGGGCATTGTGGGTGAGGGTAAGGTGCGGGAGGGTAGGGGGTGGGGTGTCAGGTCCCGGGTCCCCACCTCAACCCCCCCCGGCTCCGGGGCAAGGGGCATCTCCGGCTCTGAGTGGTCGTCTTGGTTTGGTTGGGTCGGTGGTTCAGCTTCCGCATTGTCGTCCGTCGGTTCCGTCAGGACCGTCCCATCTGCCTCTGCTGTCAGGTGTTGTGTGGTCCCCGTAATTGGTGCGGTGGAGGCGAGCCATTGGAGCCAGTGGTACCATGCATCATGGTAACGCTGTATGCGTCCCGTTGCGGAGTGGATGAGTTCCTCGATGCGTCTGATGTATTCCACTCTCGTTATCCATTCCCTGATAGTCGGGGCCATGTGTTGTTTCCAGTGTCTCGGGATGAGGCTGCAGGCTGCATTTATTAGGTGTGGGAGTGCTGTTTTTTTAAACCTGTTGATGGGGATCTGTGTAAGTTGGAGCAGGTATGTGTCTGGTGAGAGGGGCAGGTTTGCTTCTGTTATGCTTGTAAGTATCTTGTGGATCTCTGCCCAAAAGGGCTGGATAAGGGGGCAGGACCACCATATGTGGAAGAGGGATCCCAGTTCTCTCCCGCATCTCCAGCATTCCGGGTCATTTGTGGTTTTCATCATGCTAAGTTTTTCCGGTGTCCTGTACCAGTGGGAGAGCATTTTATATCCTGTTTCTTGGAATTTGGTGGAGATGGAGGCTTTATGTGTGAGTGTAAACACCGTTGTCCATTGTTCCGTTGAAATTGAGTGTCCTAGATCCCTTTCCCAGTATTTTGTGAAGTAAGGGAGGGGTGCGTTAGTGGTGGTGGTGGTTTGCATGCGATATAGTAGCGATATTGCGTGTGGGGGGGGGTTCATGCATATGGTCTCGAATACGGAGAGTGTTCGCGTTGCCGAATTTAGGGTCGGTATGCTTCTCAGAAACCTCGTCAGTTGGTGATATCTAAAGCGTAGGAGCATATTGTGTGGGGTATTCGGGACCAGAGTGGTCAGGGGCGTGATTGTGCCTTGGTCATAGACGTCCTTCACTCTGCAGGGGGTCGGCAGGCCCAGGGCAGCCATAAAGTGAGAAATTCAAACCATCTCTCTATGTTGTTTAAAAGATATAAAGTTTGTAATATTAATTAGAGGTTAGATTACTAGGGGGGTCACAGCTAAAATACAAAAGAGGGGGGAAAATAAATTCAGTTGCCATATGCTGATATTAAATAAATCCCCCAATGTTACTGCATGCGATAACCCAATACATAATCCTGAAAGTTCTCTTTGGGAAGAGAACAATGAGGTGAATTCCCTTAGTTACACCAACCTTAAACAGAAAAGTTATTTTACCCCCTATCTTGCCAACTATAAGAACATTGATCTCTTTTTGGAGATCATGAAAAGGGAAATCGATAGAATTGATATCAGATCACTTGAGTTCGTCCCTAATATTTATCTCTCTAAAAAAGAACAAAAAGCTCTACGAGCTTTAAAAGATGACAATGAAGTAATTATTAAACGGGTAGACAAGGGGGGCAATATCGTTGTCATGAACCTTGAAAAATATATTGAAATGGTAATGAAAGTTTTGGGAGACAGGTACACTTACAAAATTTTGAAATCTGATCCCACGAATGACTTCCTTACTGAATTCAAAGACATTTTAGACCAAGGCCGAGAGTGAAGGGGTACTATCGGGTGACGAGTTCTAATTCGTTCTGAATCGTCACCCTAGGATAGAAACCTTTTACTGCCTGCCAAAGGTCCATAAGAACATGGAATCCCCCCCGGGATGCCCCATCGTGTCAGGTATGGAGAACCTGACTCAGAATGGGAGCATTTATATGGACCAAATTTTAAGACCTTTCGTAGAAAGACTACCATCCTATCTCAAGGATGCAAAACAAACTCTTGCTCTCTTGTCAAAGTTAGAGATACCCTCATCAGCAAAACTGTGCAGTCTAGACATCGAGGCACTGTACTCATCTATCCCTCATGACAACGGGATTAGACACACTAAACATTTCCCTAGAGGGGAACAACATAGTTATCACACAAACTTCTGTGTAAAACTTCTCTAATTTATCTTGACGCATAATTATTTTACTTTTAAAAACAAATTTTATCACCAGGTGAGGGGCAATGCGATGGGGGCGGCTTGTGCCCCATCGTATGCTAACCTTCACCTGGGATGGTGGGAGGTAAATATGATTAAATTTGACATCATAGCAAGATATCTCCTATCTATATTTTTATGGCGTCGCTATATCGATGATGTTTTATTGATCTGGCTAGGTAATGAAGAAGAGTTTAATGACTTTGTTAAGGTCCTCAATGTGAACGATGAAAACCTTAGATTCACAAGTGAGTTTGGCGGTACAAACCTCAATTTTCTGGACATAACAATTTCCATTACTGACCAAAACACTTTACAAACTACCCTGTATAAGAAAAAATCAGCTTCCAATAATCTTCTCAGGTGGGACAGTTTTCATCCCCAACCCCTGAGACAGGGTATTCCTGTAGGCCAGTACCTCAGGGTCAGACGTAACTGTAGCTCAATTGAAGAATTCAAAATTAAAGCACAAGATCTGAGAATACACTTCAGGGAGAAAGGATACCCTAATAAGTGTTTAAAACGAGCTTACAAGAGAGCCCTTGAATCAGATAGAAATATACTTATAAACGACACATCCTCAACTACAAATTCAAAAGAGTCAAACATTATCCGACTTATAGCTACGTATGATGTAGGTTGGAGTAGAGTAAAAGAGTCCCTTTAGCGCTTCTGGCCCATACTCACGGATGATGAACATCTAAAATAGAGATTACCTCCCAATGCAGCCATCACTGCACGCAGAGGGAGAAACCTACGGGATATCTTGTCCCCAGCCATTTACAGTTGAAACATCCCACCACATTGCTTCAGAGCCCTGTGACGGATAGCTTTCATTGTGGTAGATGTACCACCTGTAAATTTATAAAGAAAGATTCCAAAAAAGTGAAGGATAGTGAGGATGTTGAGGAATTTACTATCTCCTCTTTTTTCAACTGTATTACGGCTGGACTTGTGTATCTACTCACTTGCCAGTGCAAGTTAAAATATGTGGGAAAAACCTTAAGGCCATTTAAAAAGCGCATTCAAGAACATGTGTGATCCCCTAGAAATCCTTTGGATAACCCTATCTCAAGACATCTTAGGGAATATCATAACGGTGATTCAAAAGGGTTACGCTTCTGTGGCCTTGAACTTGTGAAGAAAAGCCATAGGAGAGGGAATTACAACAAATTTTTGAGACAATGAGAATCCTTTTGGATTTTTAGATTAAAAACCTTATGTCCTAGGGGTCTTAACGAGGGCTTTTCGTTTTCCCCTTTCTTATGAATATGGGTGAATTACGTTTTTTTACAAAGCCGGACAAATCTTTATAATTTATCCATGGTGATTGGAACAAGTGGTATCTTTGTTCCATAATATTTATTATGACTGAATTTAGGCTGACTTATAAAATATATGTTATTTGTTATTACTATTTTCCACTTAAGGAACGTACTTATTGGTTGAGCCCACTTTTGAACTCCAAAGGGCTATTTTCGGGATCTCATTATCCCAATTTTAAATCATATAGGATGCAGAGTTCCGTTTATCCTAAATATTCTATATTTAGTACTTCTACATCTAATAAGTTTCGTGTTGAACTTATTAATTAAGGACATAGATGACTTTATGAAAGAGGGTTTTCAAGTAATAAGACTTTAAAAAATATATATCTTCTAGATAGCTATGTACATATTATAACAGCCATAACTGCAGTTGTCTCCTATTAGGGTTCAATTCCTTAACGTCTCTATTTTACAGCCTTTAGAGTCACCTTTTGGGAAGTGCCTGAGTTTTTAACAACAATCGTGTAAAAGGTATTCCCAACAACTAATAAGGACAATGTAACTCTTTATCTATTTCCTTATACAGTAGTTCAATATGCATTACTTTGCATTTCTTTCTAACTACTTTAATAGGAACAATGCCACTCTGCATCTCTATTTTGTAATACATTGAGTCTCCACACTCTAAGACCCTTTGTCTTCTAAGGGTTAACTCTATCCCAGATAGAGATAGATTGCTTATCTCTACTATTAACAATCAGCATTTAGACTTTGAGCTTCTAAAATTGTACCTGTACAGCCTCCGTCCCTCTGACGTTCTAAGATAGGGCATGGCTGAATGACACAGTAACACGGAGGCGGGTCTTACTCATTTAAAAGACCAGGTGGATACCTGACACGGAGACACTCTTGAAAAAGGCGCCATAGAGCGCTCAAACGCTCGTCGAGTTAGACGGGTCCTTTTTTATTAGGTTAAGTCTTGTTTGCAGTTACCTCTTGCTGGTCCGGGGGTGATTGTATACTAGCAGTTTGTAGCTTTAGCCAGCTCATTTAGCAGCAGTTTTGGAGACCCCCTTTTTTCTCCATAATAGCTTCTGAGACAGGAAGGTTTTCATTTACTTATCCCAAGAGCTGAATTATATGTACTATTCACTCCCTTCTAGGATTGAATCAGGTAGCTTAACTATCATGATTCATTGATAGTTAATCCCTTTGGATACATTTCGATAGTGTCAGCAGGAGATTCAGACTCTTTTCTAGGGGCGATTCCCTGCCTGGCTGTATGATCAGGCTTAGAGACTGATTTCAGAGATTTGTGGTCTAAATCATTAGACTATATACTAAAGGTGTGCCTACTATTTTTTTAGGTATCTTTTAGGATTACTTATTGGATTTACCGTATGCAACAAAGACTGGGAGACTATTCCAGTATCACAACGTTGCAAGCA